TAATTTCTGAGTTCAAATGAGAGATGAATGAAACGGCAAATGATTCTATTACAATTCCCAACAACAATTATGTACAATTGTAGGTTTAGTGCTTTTTGACATTTAAAGGCTCTGAGGAAACATTTTACCCATAAGAACTTTGAGGAAAACATTTTTCAGTTTAAAGATTATACTGAATCCATTGCTAGGCCAGTCACTAAAAATAGGTTCACTGTGTCGGGCAAGGCAATTTTTCTCTCCAGAATATATCTTATAGATCTATAAGTCTGCCATTCGTCCATGCTTAGATTATTGCTGTCTTATATGGTTCGGCACCCCTGTTAATTACCTTGAGCTGCTTGATAAAATCCAAAGAAGAATCAGCAATATTATTGGTCATGATCTGGCGGCTCGGCCCCAGTCACTTTCCCACCACCGTAAGGGTGCCTCTCTGTGCCTTTTCTATAAATACTTTCATTGAACTTGTTCGAGTGAGCTCTTTGTTTTTGTTCATTTTTTAAATATTCATTGGTGTTAATTTTTAAAATTGCTATTTTATTCCCCTCCCCTCACAGACAATGAATTGTACATATGGGGACTAGTTAGGACTTTCATAGAGACAATGAGGTATTATGGTGGATGTAGTAATAAAGGTAAGTAAGAAATCGTTGTTTTGGTGTTAGGAATATTGCGGCATGTTGGGGTCAGTGTTTGTGACTAGCTACATTTAATGTTAAGGCAGATGAAGACCGTCCTTTTCCGCATTCCCCTTTTTGGTCTTGTGCCACACTTTCTGTACTTAAGGTAATTGTCCCTAACGCGGAAAGATCAGCTGAAAGGTTCCTCCATCTGGATGAAAATTCGTCCGGATCCGGATCATCCCATCATAAGTCCTTCTTCCATAGATCACGGGTTGACCATAGGTAGTATCCTAGTTGTCTGCTTGGCTGGAGCATCGACGTCTGTGACTGAGGAAACTGTTGCAGAGTTTGCATGTGTTTTCTGTCTTTGGTTTGTTGTAACTTTGCTTTCTATGGGTCCGCCTTTGCGTGGCGACTTGTGTCAGCTTCTCCTCCCTTGACTTGATGTGTTTGGTCAGTGCTATGGGACCTTACCCATAATAACATAATGGACTATTCCATACGTAATAAATACTGCGCCTCAAGAAGAAGCAGGGAGTTCAGCCCGAAGTCGGGCGACTGGCTGACCGACTGAACGGTTGAACTCTCTGCCTTCGGGCTGGGAGGATCCCGAACGAGGCTACACCGAAGGGTGGAGTCTCTTTCGGGGAGGTAAACCGACCCTGAACCCGTTTATACGGGTTCAAATGGCATATTTTTGGCCGAGCCCACGGGCTTGGAGATCCCACGTTAAACCAGCCTTTTGCCACATGCTACCCTCGTGGGGGGGTGACTAAATACTGTTCAGTCTGAAGTCTGGAGTGAGGTCCGCCGGTAGTCTGTCAGTCAGTCAGAGCGAGTCAGTCGAGTCAGAGGCAGTCCGAAACAGAGTCGCGTTTAGACAATTACTACTAAACCTGATTGTTCGTACTAACACTTTCTTCTTCTCTGTATATATTCCTGTTTGTAATATATCTGTGTTATTCCATATCCGTATTCGAGTTCTTTATTGGTTCTACCTTGGACTATCATCGTGGAACAAGGAACCGGACCATAACAGTCAGGGTTCCTCTCTATTCGGATCGTATGGCTGCCGGGCTCTCAAATTATAAGTTATTCTTTGTGATATTTACTTAAGTTTGGTAGTTTGATTGTTTTCATTTTTTAAAAATTTTTTTTGTAATCGTATTCTCCCCATGCAAGCCAGTAAAGTCACTAAAACACAAGGGGTTACTGAATGTGAAAGAATTAGAAAACAGAATTATTATTGTGGTATGAGAACAATAGAAGAGTAACCGGAAAGAGGGAAGATAACGATTGAGATTGCATTTAAATTTTTCATCAAAGATCAAACGTGATTATAAATCAAAGTGCCGGAAGAGAGTTTTACAAGTGATAAGTGCGAGGGAAGAAACTGTTAGCATAGAACTTACGGTTGTATCAAGCCAATTCAACTGTAAATTCCTGCTTGAGTAGCCCAAATATTTTGGGCTTTTATATCATGCTGGTTCATAAAAGACTTAGCCTCTAATCCATACAATGTTGCTCTACATTTGGGCGCCTTATGTTGCCACGCAATTCACAGGATGCGGCGAATGCTTCTGATGTGAAAGATGTTCAGACGCCTTTCTTGCCTAGCGTACGTTAGGTTGCTGGTCTATTGGACGCTGATGTAATGATTTAGCATTTCCATGATCATCACATGCACCTTGTCTCATTCTTTCTTATTTAAGGTGTTTTGGGTTAGTAGTAGGCCTCCGTCGGACAGGGTTGATCATGGGTAGCATCTAAGTTGTCTGCTTGGCTGGAGCATCGGCGTCTGTGACTGTAGAGGCCGATGCGAGCGTGACAATCTCTGTTGCCGAGGTCGCATGTGTTTTCTTTCTCTGGTCTGTTGGACCCGTCACTTTGTTTTCTGCTGGCCCGCCTTTCCGTGGCGACTTGTGTTAGCTTCTCATCCCCTGACTTGAGGTGTTTGGTCAGAGTTTCTCTCTATTTGGATCGCATGCTGCCAGGCTCTCCCAGGACTCTGTGTTGATGTCCACAGCTTTCATGTCGCGTCTCACTACATCGCGGTACCACAGCTATGACCGCCTGGCGGGTCTCTTTCTAACGGCCAGCTATCCATACATCTTTGGGGATGCGGCCGTCTGGTATGCAATGGACATGGCCCAAGCAATCAACCTCATGACTGCTCAAGGTACCACCAGTCTTTACTTTGTCCCGAATCCTAACATAGAGCTCCAAGCTATGGACATCAACTCAAACCCTTCTAGTTCCAATCGTTTCCTGGAAATGGCATATAGATTGCATAGCTCATCTGGACTATCACTGGTCATCACCAGATTGTCTACGTAGAACCGATTTTTCATCATACGTCTACAAGGATTCAAAGGAAATTGAGAAGCATGGTACCGGAGAACTCAATTCAATATAAAAGGGATAGACGTGAATCCGAAAATAATTGTGGTATACCTGAAACAACGCAGCCTACCACTGTCTTTCAGGAAGAAACAGAACCCGTTCTTATCGGCTTCCAGTTCCAGGCGGATCATTAAGAAGGCCTTTCTGGTATCCGCTAATACAACGTGGTTGATTGCTCGAAAGAATAGCAGTAATTCTAACAGGTCGCTCGTAAGGTTCCCTCCCTGGTAGGCTGCCTCATTAAGAGAAGTGGAGTTATTTGTTTTGAGACTGCAGTTGAAAACAGGTGGAATTCTACTGGTAGACGCAGGATCTGCCTTCAGGAAAGGCCTGTGTAGAATCCAAATATATTCCTTAAACTGGTGAGGAGGAAATATCTCTATTATTACGACCAGGTTCTTGTTGACGGAAAACCTCTAAACATTAGAAAAGGCATAGCATGGACTGCTTGTAACAAAATGGATAAAATCTGGAAATCCAATCTTGCTCGTCAATTCAAAATCCAACATTTCCGCATACTTATTGAGCCAATCTTACTCTATGGCTCTGAAACTTGGACTCTCTCAGCAAAATAACAGCGTCGTTTAGATGGATGTTATACACGTCTTTTAAGAAGAGTGCTTAATCTCTCATGGCGAAACCACCCAACTCTAGAAATGATATATGGAGACTTGCCGAGAGTATCAACCTTAGTTTGCAGGAGACGTGTCCAGTTCGCCGGGCATTGTGCACTTGCCACAGATGAACTTGTGTCATCATTTGTACTCTGGAGGCACCCATCATCTGACAATCGATCACGCAAGTTAACCTTTCCAGATAGGATAAAACGAGACACATTGATCCCTAAGGAAGATCTTTTAGGTGCTATGACAGATAGGGAATATCGGAGAGGTGTAGTGTGTTGAATCTCGGCTGAGGCCGCAAGATGATGATGATGATGAAATAGTCCTGTAAAGCCTATCGCGTTCCTGTTTCCGTGCCACATGGCCCAAGACGCGAATGGCCACACAATGATTGGAAGGAACACAAGATAACTTTTTGGACTCCCAGGGTTGTCGAATGTAATACTAATTGTTCTTGAATATGATAGATTGTCTAAAAAGCGCAACCATTTGCTCGTCATAGTTAGACAACTCTTGTTCCTTAATCCCTAGTGATACCACGCTGAATAATCTTCCCAAACCTCTTTGTACATCACTGTCAGGAAAGAAATCGCTTAGATGCGAGGGTTTAACTTAATCCGTGGATGCCAACACGGAATCAAACGCAAGGCACTTACGGTCCTCGTCCTGAGAAAGTCCTGGTGATTGAAATCTTGTCACCTCTCCAAACCGGACAAGACCCGTTGGGACCGAAAACGTCCATCGTTGCAGACAAGGTACCAGCTTAAGGGGTCCTAGGTGCTGAATTAAGTCTAGCACAACGATACCATTAACTGTAATAAAATTAGTGCCTGCAAAGGGACAGTTGTCACGCTGGAATTTGTCCAAAGGTGAGTCCAGCTGACAAATCAATATTATTATCCACTAACACTGGAATACTGGAACCAAAATTGATTTCTAGGAGTATCTCCTTGAAGCGCTTATAGTCTGTGGTTTATACTGCAACTATACTGAGCAGACCTTAGTTACAGTTTCTGGGAGAGAGCGTATTATCTAGCGCGATCAACAATTTGAACAAGGCCAGTACGCTATCGACGATCCCCAAGAGGTTCGTCTACCCAATTTCACTCACAAGCCTTGGGTCAACTCGTGGTATGGGATCGATCGTCCCCTCCAGACGGATAACATCAGGAAGCCTACGTCCTGACAAATCAACCGTGGTGAGATTCGAACTCGGTATATATATATATATATATATATATATATATATATATATATTTATTTATTCGAAAATTATAATATAAATATGTTATAAAATTACTACAACACCTCTGGCGATCTCATGAAGGTGCCTAGATAAACGGTTATGAACAGGCTACGATAGATAGATAGATAGATAGATAGATAGATAGATAGATAGATATGAACAGATTGAGATAGTTAGATATATAGATAGATATGAATATAATAATAAACGGTGAATACCCATATTTCTAGATGCATCTTTCGAACTGTATTGTTTGAATAATGAACAAAAAAAATAATAACACAAAAATCGAAAAATTCCAAACAGTGTAAGGGAGATAATTCTGAAAATTGAAAATCAACATGGGAGATAATTTTAACCGGTCTAAGGGAGATAACGTATTAAAATGCAAGGGAGATAATTATAGATGAATTAAAAACTAGAAAATTATTTACAAGTCTCTATAAAATAAATGTTGAGTTTTCATTAACATTTCGTTTTTTTATAAGGAAACATTCATCATTCATTGACCAAGAAGCCAATGCCATTCGAGTTATGCTTTTCTTCATTCACTGATCATCGGGCTAGGATCAAAGCGTAGAATCTGTTCTCCTCATCTCTAATGGTAATATTAGCTGTTTCCTTATAATGAAACATTCGGCATTCATTGACCGAGCAGCCATTGCTACTCGTTACGCTTTTCTTCACTCCCTGGCCATCGGGCTGGGATCAAAGTGTAGTATCTGTTCTCCTCATCTCTAATGCTGATGGTAATATTAGCCGTTTCTTTATAAGGAAACATTTGGTATTCAATGACCAAGCAGAAATTTCTTCTTCTATTTGAAATTTATAAAATCTTTCTATTAATTTTTTTTAGTTATACGAACTGCTATTATTCTTTCAAGTATGAATATGGGCTTCCTTCTTACCATTTTCTTCGAAGTATTGTGGGATATCAACACCATGATTGTGTCATTATCTTCTCTTCGAGATTGGTATCCATTTTAACTGTTGCTGTTGCTGGAAGTCCTCACGGGATGCATTTTTTAAAAAATGAATTGTGATTGTGCAGCGCCGGTTAAAAAAGTTCAGAGAACGATGGTTGTCGCGAATGGGCTACTGGGAGAAAGAGAATGAAAAGACTTTAGAAGGAAAAGGAAACACAAACTAATCAAGAAACAAGGGATAAACCTCTACTCCTGTTCCAAAGACCGGAGAGGAATGCGATGTAGAGATATGAACAGACTGAGATAGATAGATAGATAGATAGATAGATAGATAGATAGATAGATAGATATGGGCAGACTCGGTTATATATATATATATATATATATATATATATATATATATATATTTAGATAGATAGATATGGGCAGACTGAGATAGATAGATAGACAGATAAATAGATAGATATAAGCGATTGCGGTAGATGGATAAATATGAACAGAGAGTAAGATAGATATGAACAGACTGCGATAACAGACATGAACAGATTGAGATAGATAGATAGATAGATATGAACAGACTGAGATCGATACATAGATTGGAACAGACTGAGATTACATATATATATATATATATATATATATATATATATATATATATATATATATATGTATGCATGTATATAGACATTGCACGTGGAATTAGAACAATCTCCCCCAGAGAAAGAAATAAAGGGTTCGACATTCCAACCGCCTGAAGAAGGCCGGAGTTTACAACGGTCGAAACGTCGTGATAAATACAGCAACAATGTAAATAGTGTACATAATAACTCATCTCAGAAATATAGACAGATACTGGAGGCCTCTTAAGTTGTCCAAACCTCCAGCTTATATGGAGTCCTGCTTCCGGTAGTACTGGGGTTGATCAGTGAGTTCGATTATCTTCCACCCTTAGCATCAACCTTTTTCTAAAATTCCATATTTCCAAGAGTTGTTTACGTGAGTGATTTTCCAAATTTAGAGCCCTTTTTTGAGAGTGTTCAGAGGAATAAAGCTGCCCTTTAACTCCAACTCACTTCACGTCTCACACGCACCATCGCTCCATATAGCCGGTTCTAATTTCTCTCTCTTTCTTCTCTCATTTTCTCAGCATCTAACCTCTGCCCACTCCAAGACCTTTTCTGTGACGAATCCAAACTTTCAGAATGCGTAGGCGAAAAGCGATTTTCTAATAATTAATATTTCTTCATCAGCTTGTCTCACGCTGTAATTTTCTTAGCCCATCCAGAGGACTTCCTATTAGCACATCTAAAAAATTGTCATGGGTGGGAAAGAAAAATATTCCCAATCTCTTTAGTGATAAAAAAAGTTATCTTTCCTCTGTTTATGCGTTTTCTCGGCCCGAAAGACCACACAGCCTTTTTGCTCACAGTCACTCCAAAATAGTAATTAATCTTTCTTTATCACTTGTATCCAAAGGAATCCGATGAATGAAGCTGCCAGGTTTATCTCTAGCTTTGTAGGGACACATTTCTTCTGGGTGGCCGGGTCAAACTAGATGGTTTTACATGACTTTTTTTTGTCCAGAACGATCTTTAAATATTAATTCAGTGACGACCCGGGTATCTTTATCCACAGCATACGTTTTTCTATTTGACATCTTCCAAGATATATTAATAATCTCTTTCTCATCGGTGGAACTGGGTAAGGACGGGTAGTCTTGGTTTTGCTCAATTTTACTCAATTCCGTCTAGTTAAATTTGGACTCGATTGTCCTTGGAAGCGTTCGGGGTTTCACTTACTACTTTGAAACATGATTTTTAACGCATTTCGTTTTTAATCTTCTCAACTTTTCAATCCATCTTCCCGCGAATTTCAAGAATTTCTTTCTTCTTTCTTTTTCTTCTTTCCCCCCTTTTTTTGAACCCAGTGTCACATATAGACGCTTGGAAAATTTATCCCGCAAACAATATTGTCAGATTCAATGTGAGTCCGGGTAAAGATGATCGTACAAAACAAATGACAATGCATGTCATTACACAAATAATTACATATGACGAAAGGAAAAACATGAACCTATCTAGAATAGGAATGTGCTTATTCGTGTGTGTGTGTGTGTTTGCGTGCGCGTGTGTTTGCGTGCGCAACAAGCGTGTGTGAGAGAGTATAAAAGTAAAGAGAGAAAACCATGAAAATGAACGTTCCCCAGTGGGGGACACATTTTACCCAATGCGACTACATATGAAGGCCAGAGTTGAAAAGCAGTAAAAGCGACTAGGGAGAGAAATGCACGCTTTTTTATAGGCTTAAGCAGTGCTACCTAGCGACGTTTATCTTTTTCTTTTTTTTTATTTTAGGAAAGTTAAGTGGAATAGCCCACATTTAGATAATTTTAGACTGAGATAGATACATATATAAATATAAAGTGATCAAGGAATTAAAAATCTTAGGTTTTGTTTCATGCTTGGAATCGATTGTCATGATCCTATCACTAATCTTTATGCCTTGTCTCATGTTCGCCCTCACAATATCGAATATGTGCTTATCAAAGGCGAATATCGATAGGTTTGGCCTGATAGACGCTTGCTATATGGAGTGTTGGCTTATGGCAAAAGGCACAGATGTTGACCTCGAAAAATATACACGTAACAAGGAGTCCATCAAAAGCAGTCTTTAGCGGCGAAAGATCAAGCGAGATGTATTTTAGGAGTATGCCGAAAATTACTCACGCAGGCGCCATATCGTCATTAAAGACATTGAAAAACATTTAGAATGTCAGACGTAGCAATCTTCAAACGTACCGCCACTGAGGAAGGAATACTTTATTAACGAATCATGTGTTTGGACGGGACGTTTCTTGATAAAACTTTATTTTACACCTGTTTTTAGCAACACCGTGTCTGACAACAAAAAATTTAAAGCTCTAGAAAAAATTGAGAAGGAAATCTCATCCTGTGGATTATTTTCTACCAATCAGAAGAACGAAATTTGAAAAGCTGTAGAGTAATTGGCTATGGTTAAATGTGATTTGCAGAAATATCCAACAAACAGAATTTACCTTATTTACATTTTTCATACTATTGTCCTCATCTTTGTCGCCATATTTATTACAACGTTCCGGCCTTTCAGTATCTGTCTATATTTCTGAGATGAGGTATTATGTACACTATTTACATTATTCGGACTATTGTTCTCATCTTAGTCGCCATATTTATTACAACGTTTCGGCCCTTCAGTATCTGTCTATATTTCTGAGATGAGGAATTATGTACATTATTTACATTATTCAGACTATTGTCCTCATCTTTGTCGCCATATTTATTACATCCTTCAGTATCTGTCTATATTTCCGAGATATCCTTCAGTATCTCTCTATATTTCTGAGATGAGGTATTATGTACACTATTTACATTATTCGGGCTATTGTCCTCATCTTTGTCACCATATTTATTACAACATTTCGGCCCTTCAGTATCTGTTTATATTTCTGAGATGAGGTATTATGTACATTATTTACATTATTCGGACTATTGTCTAACAAAGCAGCTCTCATCAAACAAACAGTTTTTTCCCTGTATTATAAGATAATTTAATTTATTTAATTATTTCTTCATTTTATTTTATTTATATTATTTACATTACTCGGACTATTGTCCTCATTTTTGTCACCATATTTATTACAACGTTTCGGCTGTTGTACGCTCCGGCCTTCTTCAAGTGGTTGGAATGTCGAACTGAACCCTTTATTTCACTCACTGGGGTAGGCTGTTCTAGTTCCACGAGCCATGTTTAATGGATGTCAGTTATCAGTTATCGCCTGTTAATTCCCCTCTCCAAGTTCTCCACTGCCTTAACCGGGTATTGAACTCACACTCTTTGAGTCCTGTCACTGGATCTAACCAACGGCTTTATTCACTGTGCCATGTGTCCTTGAAAGACAGAATTTACCTTGTTCCTAATAAACAATAAAAAGATAAAGAAATAAAAAAGAAGGCAAAAATAATATAAAGCACGCAATTAATATATGCATGGCAAATTAACAGTAATAAGACAAAGCAACAAATATGGTAAAAAGTTCACAAGCTAAGAATTGGGATTGACACACAAAAAGAGATAAAACAAGGGATCGCAGCGTTCAGGCTTCAAAACAAGAAAGAAGAAAACTTAATCTGATAAGACCCAAAAGTGGCTCATCTTATTGGTTAGGAAGAAATCCCAGCATGCATCTGTGTGTTTGTTTGTAAATTGGGGAGGGGGGAAGTATTTTACAGTCATTCAAATATATGATTATAACCAACAGTTAATCTGCCGACCTGAATATAAAGAAAGGTTAAAATCACTCTTCATTCGCGCATCGTCAGTCGATAGGCACACAGATGGAAATCAAGTTCATTAATTAACATTTTCGTCTGAGGCTACGAAGAGCTTTTAGACTTCATTACGGGACACGGCCAACCGAAATTCCGGACGACGACATGCCGAAACTAAAAACTGACATTACGCTCTTCCGAAAATACCTTCAAGCAGATGTAGATCATGTCTTCCTTGAATTTGATGCCCTTGAAGATCAAACAACTTATACACAAATCGGGTCATCAGAGTATTTTTCCAGGTGGAGCTTGTATACGCCATCTTTAGAATTACGCCTGTAGTCATATTAGTACCCTTCCTATTTTAGTTTAGAGTAGCTATCAAAGTAAACAGAGAAGATGTGAAACTTCTTCGAAAGAATAACTTTAGAGTCGATTGGAATAAGACGAATATCACAAATACAAAGTATAGTGATTTTCCAAGCTTGGATTAGATGTGGCACAAAGCCAAAAGTAAGGGGCACCCAGTGAGGATCGAACTCAATATACAGTCGTAATTGTTCTAGCGAGACAAGCTTGCTAACCATTACACCACCTCGAGATGCCTAGTGATTTTCAAAGCGTAGCTTAGATGTGGCACAAGGCCGAAAGTAAATGGGTACCCAGTGAGTATCGAAATCACTACTCAGTCGTAATTGTACTAGCGAGACAAGGTTGCTAACCATGACACCACGCCGATGTGCCCACGAATACAACCTATATATCCATTCAGAAAGCGGAAATTCTCAAATTAGCATATGTATTTTAGAACCAAGATAACAAAATCAAGGAAGAATAGCAATTTCAATATCAGGGAATTTTTTTTAACATAGGATGGAAAGCGTGACCCTGATATCCAAAGACCTTTTCTGCGATGTACGAAATATGTCTTCCAAAAACTAAAGAAAATACATGGTGCTGTAAAAGTAACGCTCTTTTTTATTTATTAACTTTTATTGAAAAAAATAATTTACATTAGTTTAAGATGGCTTAATTTAGCCATGGCTTATGCGTTAAAACTGAATTCCGAGCTGAGGTGGTTAGGACGAAGGGGAGCAATTGAGTAAACTTCACGAACGCCAGACCAAACACAACTCGACTTTTACTTGTAGGGTGTATTGAAGGAACTTGTTTACGGGCTCAATTAGATAGAAACAGACAAACAGACAGACAGATAGATAGATATATAGATAGATAGATGGATAGATATGGTCAGATTGAGATAGATAGATAGATAGATAAATAAATACGGGTAGACTGAGGCAGATAGATAGATATATAGATAGATAGGTAGATAGATAGATATGTGCAGACTCAGTTATATAGATAGACAGACAGATAGATAGATAAATATTGCCAGACTGAGATAGATAGATATTGGCAGACACAGATAGATAGATAGATAGATAGATATGGAAAGATTGAGATAGATAGATAGATAGATAGATAGATAGATAGATATGTGCAGACTCAGTTATATAGATAGACAGACAGATAGATAGATATTGCCAAACTGAGATAGATAGATATTGGCAGACACAGATAGATAGATAGATAGATAGATAGATATGGACAGATTGAGATAGATAGATATGGACAGATTGATATAGATAGATATTGCCAGACTGAGATAGATAGATAGATAGATGTTGGCAGACACAGATTGATAGATAGATAGATATGGACAGATTGAGATAGATAGATAGATAGATAGATATGGGCAGACTGAAATGAGTTTACAGAGATAGCAAAAAGACAAAATTTACTAAGCGCTACAAAGGACAGGAAATTATGGAGAGCCATGATCAAAGAAGACGACGAAGACGAAGAAGAAGTGACATATTGTAAAGACTTTTCATGTTACTGATTTTCAAATAACAACACGGTTTTCGTTTATCCCCAAGTCCGAACGAGTCGGATGACAACGTGAGGTGCCTGGTGACAGTAAGATGGAGACAGTTTAGTGATATATTACAACAATTAAGAATAAAACAACATGTTGGTGATATATGGTAATGTTAATGGTAAAATTGACTGTTTCCCTACAAAGAAACATTTAGCATTCATTGACCGAGCAGCCAATGGCTACTTTCCGTTGAAATTCGTAGAATTTTTCTCTTAAAACAATTTTCAGGAAAATATGTTTCTCAAGTCCAGTTGCTATTATAGCTCTTTCCAGTACTGATGGGTGGTTTCCTTCCTAACCTTTTATTTGAAGTAGTGTAGAATGTTAATGTAACTAAAGGAAGGTTACAGAATAGAATAATCAAATGAAGATTGGTAATGAACGATAATACTTAGGACACGAACAACACATATAAGATTTGCCAAAGGCGCGCAGCTGTGGTAGTCAACTGCTGGAAGTGAGTCAAGTGAATTCCACAATGAATTTCTGCAGAATATCTACCAACCGCCCCACGCGGTCAGATGTGGCACAAGGCCGAATTTAATGTGGGGTATCCGAGCCCGTAGGCTCAGTTAAAAATCCTTCGTTGACCCCGTAAAAGGGGCCGGGTAGCTGATTCCCGAGACGAGACTCTTGCCTTTCAACATAGCCTCGTCTGGGGATCCTCTCTGTCCGGAGGCAGAGAGTTTAACCAACACAACTGGAGACAAATCTCCAACTGCAGGATATCTACCAACCAGCCCACGCGGTCAGATGTGGCACTAGGACAAATTTAATGTGGGGTAAGAGCCCGTAGGCTCAGCAAAAAAATCCACGTAGACCCCGTATAAAACAGGGCCGTGTAGCTGTTTCCCGAGACGAGACTCTTGCCTTTCGACATAGCCTCGTACGGGGATCCTCTCTGTCGCAGAAGTGGTTGTCAACTGCATGAAGTGAGTCAAGTGAATTCCACAATGAATCTCCAACTGCAGAATATCTACTAAACGTTCTACGCGGTCAGATGTGGCACAAGGCCGAATTTAATGTGGGGCATTCGAGCCTGTAGGCTCGGCCATAAATTCCCCGTAGACCTTGTATAAAACGGTGTCGGGTAGCTGTTTCCCGGGACGAGATTCTGCCCTTCGACATAGCGTCGTCTGGAAATCCTCTCAGCCCGGAAGCAGCACAGGTGGAGACGAATCTCTAACTGCAGACCAACATACAGTATTTACTACCGTATTTATGTGAATGGGGACATACCCATTACCGTCCGTAGGTATGCTTCAACAGTTAATATATTGATTATACCATTAATTTCTTTTCGAATTACTGTCCATTATAATTGTTGTTGCTGTTGGTAGACCTCAAGTGATGTGGTTCCTGTAATTTAGTAGTTCTTTGTGATTCTGTAGCGCCAGACCACAATGTCTAAAAAGGGATGATATTTTCGTAAAACCCTCACTCAAAGACATTTAAACTATTGATCTTAGAATGCGGTTGTATCCAACTGACAGTTTAAATATTTTTGAACGGGTTTATCACCATGCACGGCATTCATATCAATCAGGCGAGGCTATTTAAGGACGTGACATTTTAGTTTCATAGTAATTTGAGGTGTTGAGCGAAACTACCTCTTGCCCAGCCCATTCGGTGTTCAATTTTCTTTTCTCTTGTACTAAACTTGTTATAACTGATCCATACGTAGACCATTTCAGAAATATAGACAGATCCTGAAGAAGGCCGGAGCCTCGTACAACGACCGAAACGGCGTGGATATTGCTACGAAGATGCGGGCAACAGTATGAACATTTGAAATAGTGTAAATAATTAAAATATCTCATCTGAGAAATAGAGACAGATGTTGAAGGTGAATATGGCAATAAAGATGAGGACAACAGTCCAAACAATGTAAATAGTGTAAATAGTTACAATACCTCATCTGAGAAATAGAGACAGATATTGAAGGTGAATATGGCAATAAAGATGAGGACAACAGTCCGAATAATGTCAATAGTGTAAATAGTTACAATACCTCATCTGAGAAATAGAGACAGATGTTGAAGGTGAATATGGCAATAAAAGATGAGGGACAACAGTCCAAACAATGTAAATAGTGTAAATAGTTACAATACCTCATCTGAGAAATAGAGACAGATATTGAAGGTGAATATGGCAATAAAGATGAGGACAACAGTCCGAATAATGTCAATAGTGTAAATAGTTACAATACCTCATCTGAGAAATAGAGACAGATGTTGAAGGTGAATATGGCAATAAAGATGAGGACAACAGTCCAAACAATGTAAATAGTGTAAATAGTTACAATACCTCATCTGAGAAATAGAGACAGATGTTGAAGGTGAATATGGCAATAAAGATGAGAACAACAGTCAGAACAATGTAAATAGTTTAAATAGTTACAATACCTCATCTGAGAAATAGAGACAGATGTTGAAGGTGAATATGGCAACAAAGATGAGGACAACAGTCAGAACAATTTAAATAGTTTAAATAGTTACAATATCTCATCTCAGAAATATGGACAGATCCTGAAGAATGCCGGAGCGTACAACGACAGAAACGTTGTGAGGATGGCAACAACGATGATCACAACAGTCTGAAGTACATAGATAGAGTGAATAATTAAAATGCTTCATCTCAGAAATAAAGACATATCTCGAAGAAGGCCGTAGAGTACAATGGTCAGAACATTGTGAATATAGCAACGAAGATGAGGACAACAGTCTGAACAATGTAAAAAAATAAATAATTACAAACAGCGAGGTATTTGAAATGTTTAGTATTTACAATGGATTTAAGTTAATCATTCCAGTTCGAGATTATCGATTCTGTTTTGGATAGGTTTATCTTGGCTCCTATTTCTTGGAACACTTGGTGGAGGAGGTTGATTTTATGTTCAAGATAGATAGATAGATATGAGAGAATGAGATAGATAGATTTCATTTAAAAGAAGGCTCAATACAAAGTAGAGCAATATTATTTATTTCAGCATATTACATCAAAAATATGTCAAAATCGCTACAAAATTGTAACCAATGCATCTCTTCAGACGATTGTAAATTGTGCGTGAACGATTTATTAATAAAAATATATGGTTCATTCGTCAGCAATTTACAATCGCTTCATGAGATGCATTTATACGCATCGAAACACGATTGCAATTATGTAAGGATTCTGCCATGTTTTTCGGTGTAATATCCTTATATATATATATATATATATATATATATATATATATATATATATAGGAAGGAGTGAGAGTAGATATACAACAATCAATATGACGAGACGAGACATAGGTATATATGGTAATGTAACAAGAAGTGTTTGGAGATATGTGACCATCATTATGACGGGAAGGACATATATATATATATATATATATATATATATATATATATATATATATATATATATATAAAAGTAACAGGATGAACATTGAAATATATGACAATCTATATAACGAAAAGAGCAGAATATATACGTCAATATAACAGGGCGTGAAGATATATGCAAATGTAACAAAAAGGCGAGGAAAATTTTTGACCAGTGAATATGACTAGAAGAGCCTATATATATATATATATATATATATATATATATAATACTAATAATTATACTCTGATAGTAAAAAATTCAGATGGCTTAATTTGCAAGTATATCAAAACAAATTGGTGTCCGAGCAAAAAAAGTAAGAACTAAAAACATCTGAACAGGGCGAAATAAAATCGACCAATGCCTTAAATTTCCAGTAAAAAACAAAGCAAAAAAAACAAAAAACAAAACAAAACAAAACAAAAAAACAACAACAACGACAAAAAACATAAAACAAAAAACAAACGAATAACTAAGATAAAACGTAGAGTGCTGAATACGGTAAGTAGACCAAATTAATAAAATAATCTTAAAGGACCTGGAATTACCTACTCAGGTTTCATCACCTATATGGATTTTCATGGTAAGATGAATTTATATATATATATATATATATATATATATATATATATATATATATATATATATATATATATATATAATATTATCCCTCACCCTAGCACGAAAAATTGGAAAAAAAGAAAGAACTAGAAACATCCAAACAGGGCGAAAAAATCGTCCAGTGCCTTAAATTTCCAGTCCCCCCCAAAAAACAAAAAAACAAAAAAAACAAAAAAACAAGCGAATAACTAAGATAAAACGTAGCATGCTGAATACGGTAAGTAGAACAAAGGAATAAAATAAATCCTAAAGAGCCAAGAATTACCTACCTAGGTTTCACCCCCTAAATGGATCTTCAGGCTAAGCTGAGTTTTTCTTTCTGTATTTTGTAAAATTTTTATTCAGTTATTCTTTCTTTTTTATCATTTAACCATATTTTTTTTTGTTTATATCTTTTTTTTTCTGATTTTGTTTGCTTCTTTCTTTTGTACATTTTTCATTCGTGTCTTGTTTTTTGCAATTTCTCCTTTTCTTTCTTTCTTTCTTTCTTTCTTTCTTTCTTTCTTTCTTTCTTTCTCCCTAAAGTTTCCTTACCCTTTTTATCATCTATTTTCTTCGTCCTCTTCTTTAGATCGATTTCTTTCTTTCTTTCTTTCTTTCTTTCTTTCTTTCTTTCTTTCTTTTATTTAGTCTTTGTTTGTTTTTTTGTTTGTTTCTTTCTTTCTAAATTTTCCTTTCCCTTTTTATCATCTATTTTCTTCGTCCTCTTCTTTACTTCGATTTCCTCTATTTTCTTTCTTTCTTTCTTTCTTTCTTTCTTTCTTTCTTTCCACCTAAAGTTTCCTTACCCTTTTTATTATCTATTTTCTTCGTCCTCTTCTTTAGATCGATTTCCTCTTCTTTCTTTCTTTTATTTAGTCTTTGTTTGTTTCTTTCTTCCTTTCTCTCTAAATTTTCCTTTCCCTTTTTATCATCTATTTTTCTTCCTCTTCTTTAGATCGATTTCTCTTCTTTCTCGCTTTCTTTCTTTCTTTCTTTCTTTCTTTTATTTAGTCTTTGTTTGTTTGTTTCTTTCTTCTTTTCTTTCTAAATTTTCCTTTCTTTTTTTATCATCTATTTTCTTCGTCCTCTTCTTTACTTCGATTTCCTCTTCTTTCTTTCTTTCTTTCTTTCTTTCTTTTATCTAATTTCTTTCATTCTTTCTTTCTTTCTTTTATCTAATTTCTTTCATTCTTTCCTTCTTTCTTTTATCTAATTTCTTTCTTTCTTTCTTTCTTTTTTCTTTTACTGTTTGTGCATTTTATTATTATTTTCTTTATTTTCTCCCTCTTTTTCTATTGTCTGTTTCTTTTCATATTCATTTCTTCTGCTTCTTATTCTTTTTTGTTTCTTTTTTCGTCTTCGTTGACAACTATTTCTTCGTTTTCTTTTTCTCTTTATTTTGTTCCTTCCTTTTTTTTCTCTCTTTTCCCTTTTTTTTCTCTCTTTCCCTTCTCATCCCCTTTTTCTTTTTTTTCTCTTCTTCTAATACATTTCTTTGTCTTCTTTTTCTTTTCTTTCGCCCTTAACCTCCCCGGCATCTTCGCGAATGTCCGCCTCATACTTACCTCTTCTTACCATTCTTTAGGCATGACAGACTCAACGAAATATGCATTGAGATAACCAGCAATTCTTTTTTGGTCAATTCCAATTGAGGCTTGGCGCAACGTGGGTGGGCAGATTAGAAATTCTCGGATCTCGAACCCACCATACCGAGACTGACTCCCCGGGTTTATCCATCACCTTTCAACCCACCCAGGCTGGCTATCTCCATTAACATAGACCAAAGATATCGACTCAAATAGCAACTGAACCGATATTTTCATCTCTGAGGTAAGAATTCAGGATCTTGCATCACGTGAACAAAAATAGAAATCCAAAATAATAAAGATTTCTTCATTTTTATTTTTAAATGGAGCAGTGACAGCCATTATTAGTTTTAATTTTGACTTTATCGATGTACAGATCTGTTACAACAAATTTAGTATCATATCTAACGAAATTAAACATAGGAGAAGTTGCGTTGCAGGTAGATTAAGTCGTAAGAAGCTACCAAAACAAAAGATAGACGAAAGAACTTGAGTCATATTCAACTATGGAAGTCCTAAATAGTAAAAAAATTCATATAGCTCAGTATATGGATCAATTATAACAAAGACAATGTAGCTGTCCATGCAAATTAAAAAATTGGAGATAGCAAAAATCAAGGAAGTATAGAAGTTTAAATATCTGGGAAGTGTTCTGAGAACGGAAATAAAAATTTGGTTAGAAACAAAGAAAGGAGTGCTGAATTTTTGCGTAACTATATATATATATATATATATATATATATATATATATATATATATATTTGAATGAAAACTCTAACATTTTAGGCATTTAAAACAACATGCCTGCCCGCACACACAATTCCGTAAAATACTTGTCGTAAACACAATTATACTTCGACATGAAAACAATAGACAAAAACTAAAAATCCTTCAAACAGTTGAAACCCAACCTAAACAAAATCAACTATGGAATCTCTACAAATATTCTTAAATGTCTATAATTGGTAACAAAAGCCATTGGTTTATACCAACGGCTTCCCATACTTCTACAATTCACTCTCGTGTGGTCATGTGTGACGTCATGAGATGCGGTGAGATTTTCGCTTCTAGCGTCTTATATGCACGTGTTTATCGTTGCTTAAAAATCATCTATGTAAACAATGACAGACTATCATCAATGTCTTGTCCGCATATTGCTTAATATGTTGTAATTGACATCTTTGATAATGGCTTATGTAAGCCGAAAGCTTAGATTGTATTAAAAAAAAAATATGGATCAATATTGTGAATTTCTGTCTTCGTTCAACGATAATGTTATTAAACTTATCAGACGTTACGAAAAAAATTTACATAAAATAAATAAACAACACTTTTCTATATTATTTAATGAAACGTGCATGAATGAAAAGATGCTTCCTAAATATACACAAAATATATGTATGCGTGTATATATATATATATATATATATATATATATATATATATATATATATATATATATATATATATAAAAAAAAAAACAGACCACTTTAAGGTACCATGGTAATAATTTATTTCACCAGAGCCCTTTTAAAGGACGCCGGATCATCAGATAGAACTTCCAAAAATGAAATGAAACGAAAAATGAAATTAAAATTGATGGGTAGTGTAAGTTTTTGTAATTTAACAGAGAGTGTAAAAGGGGTACTTAAAGAGGCATGGTAGAGTTTAGGGAGGGATTACTTTCATATCTAACTTCAACAATACTAAATATTGTTTGAATTTCAACTCGTGTCAGGAGGTTGCAAATATATATATATATATATATATATATATATATATATATATATATATATATTTGCACTCTCTGTTAAATATATATATATATATATTTTGCACTCTCTGTTAAATATATATATATATATATATTTGCAATCCGTTGACGCGAGTTGAAATTCAAACAATATTTAGTATTGTTGAAGCTAACGCTGTGCGGAGGCACGATGGAGTAATGGATAGTGGCTCACATTGAGGAATCGGAGAGTCGAGTTCGAATTTCAATCGAATCCGTTACATTCTTTTTACATACTAAAATTCTTGGGAAAGGTATAAATCCTTTTCTTTTCCCCCCAGCTATGGGTAAACAGCCGGACAGACCGGGTTCAATAGCCTTGGATGGCAACTGGTTTACCACGGGAAGAAATGGTAACCTACTGCTGGAAAAAAATCTGCCTCGTCAGTCATGTATCGAAAGATACATGATCGCTTAGGCGTGTATCACGCATGGCACTCTGACTGAGATTATCGCTAACTTTTTTTTTTGTCGAGATTTACAAAACTTTACGTTTTGTTCAATTTCGCAAACGAATCGATGAAATTTATTAAGTAAGTATTTTATTGGTATTAGTTTGAAACAAAGAAAGAAGTTCTGAATTTTTA